ATACATGTAATAAACATGTGAATAAACCTTGTGAAAAATTCTGTTGCGCTTGTGTTTGTTGTGACGATGTGCCAGTATGTGTGTAGACGTATTTGACGGAAAATAAGTCATGAAATGTGTGTCTTCACATGACATTTGCTTGTAATCAGTATTATTTACGCAGAATCCTCGTTGCCATTTTTTATACCTAAATGAATAAAGACTTATTTATATACTAATATGGAAGAAAATGAATTATGATGAATGAATTAATTTTAATGTGAAATATTTTCGTCGCCATAGTTTTTTATCTACCCATTATGATAAACAATAAACGCAATAAACAACGTTTCCAATAATAAATGTTGTTTATACAGCAGGCAGCTGGCATGAGTGCTCCAGCAGGCAGGGCAGCGCTCCTGTGTCTGCTGGCCGTTGCGTGGGCAGCCACAGTCTCAGCGCAAGTCAAGCTCATGTGAGCATAATTGATTTGATTTGTAACTTAATATTTAAGAAAATTAATTAAATTTAAGTGGAGCGTCTGCCCCAAATTTTATCTCGGTTATTTACAGACGGATCACTTTGAAACTTGGTACACATAAGTAAAACAGAAATCTAAGACTTTTTTGTTCGTGTGAATTTTTCTAAACAAGTGAAAGAAAACGTGAAATTCTTAGAAAACTGCCAAAAAAGGGGGTACTGTAGAAATCTAGCCCTTCCTAGGATTTACAATCTACAACAACGAGACACATATAATTAGATGAATAAAGACCATATCTATGAAATGATGCATGCGTTTTTTTGTAATTTTAATTTTTGTGGATGTAGGGGCGTTTTTTGTAAATTTTTCGGAAATTTTTCAATTTTACCCCCTATAACCCCCTTTTTTGCGGGATAAATACAAACTATAACGAAATTCGAAAAACGCATGCATCAGTTTGTAGAAATCTTCTTTAAAAATCGAACGGTATATCTCTCATTGCTGTAGCTTCAAAACTCTGGGAGGAGATAGGTTTGCAGTGACAATAAGTTAACTTTTCAGTAGAGCCCCACAAAGTCGCACGCGCCTCGAGATAGATATTCAAGGGTGCAAGATTGCAAGACTACACGATACTGGAGCTCAATTTCTGTCAAGGATGACGCGAACGACGGCACGAGAAACATCCCTTACGACTGCAGGCGGATAACCGAAGCACAGCGTGTTCAGACTAGCTATTTAAGTGTGCTACCGGTAATTTCGGCCTATCTTATATGTTGAAGAACCCCACCACCCCTAACCCTTTCGCGATCTGTCGTGAACGCATAAATCAACGTACAGAGATGCTTTTGGTACCGGGAATTTTTGTGAATTTGAATCAACGCTACTAAAGGGAATTTTGAATCAACGCTAAAATATTAATACCATATAAGCTCTTTAGCTATTGTTCCAATTGCACAAATAATTATTTTCTTTAATGTTATAAATATAACGAAGATAAATGCAAACATTTTTTTTTGTCTCTATAACCGATCAATTTCCGTTGTATGCAGTTGTTAACATATTATGATAAAAATTTTAATTAAGTTACACTATGTCATCGTTCACCCGAACATTGCCTCCACCTCAGCGATGTAGTCTGCGCGTCTGGAGTCGTTAACTTTACGGCCACAGACCTGCCGGCGGCGTGCGGAGGCTCCCTAAAGGCTAAGCTGCAGGGCACGACCAACGTCACCACAGGATCCTTCACCCTCAAGGTCTTCAAGCCCCTCACACCCTTCATGCTGCCCTCGGAGACCAGCACCAGCGCCCTCGCCACCGTCACTCTTGCAGCGACCGGTAGGACTCACGCCATATTAAATATAGCGGTCGTATTATTGGTCGTCTATTGAAAATCGATCTAGCTGAAAACATAATGACATTTAAAAGACATAAAAATAATAAGATTTTTAATATAACATATAACTTTTGTAATAATGACTGATAAATCATAAATTTCTGCAGTTGGAGCAATAGAAATGTCCAATAGAGGAGAAAAACTTATTACCAAAGAATTTAAGAAATAAGTCTCATCTCAAACGGGAGGCTATTCGGAGGCTTTGGAATTAAATTTGTGAGAGGTTCAGAGCAAAGGTTTAGCACCGAGGATAGATTACGAGGATAGAGAACAGTCGAACTACATACATTGACCCGTATACTAAATAGGGCACTAGCACTACGAAGTAGCACTATATGCACTACAAAGTGTCCTGTTGGTATGCAAAATTCGTCACTGACACTAAGCACTTCGAAGCGACACTCTACAATGTTTAGTGTCGCTTAGTGTCGCACTACTGATTCGTATGCAGAAAGACTTTGAAGTGCTACTTCGCTGTTAGAGTACTTTATAGTGCCGCACTACGCTATGAGTCTATTGAAGAATGGTAGTTAAGTGCTCAAATAAGTAATTATTCCCTAAGTAATTCTCATTCTTTGCAGAAGATTGATGTAAAATGTCTAATTGTGATGGTATATAATAGTACTAGTAAAAATTGTGATGGTGAGCTGAAATTCGCAATGCGTCTGCGCACCTTTCCCATCATATATTCAAAAGCCACGCTTCCCAAAGACATCGAACAAAAGAGAGAAGCATGGAAAGTTCTTGCAGAAAAATCCAAAATGACTAAAAAAAAAAATTCAAAACATGGTATCAAAAACAAGAAAAGTATTTTCTACTTCTACGCTGTTCATCTGTTTCGCCAAGGAAAATGCCAGCCATAAAGCGGTACACTTTTTTTATATCATGGCATGTAGTTACTGAGGTTTTTACGCGATGATGCCTTTGCTGTAAGCCAAACAGATCCATAGCTGACGAAGTAAACAAGGTGAAATATACCGTAGTGTCATCGTGAAGTGCGGTGTGTAGGACACTTTAGATTTTTGTAGTGCGCGTTATGCTTTTGGCCCTATATTTAGCATACCAACCGCAGTGTTCCATGCCGCACTGTGGCTTGTAGTGCGTAGTGCTACTTCATAGTGCTAGTGCCTATATATTTAGCATGCCAACCGTAGTGTTCCATGTCGCACTAGTATAGGCACTACGGCTTGTAGTGCGTAGTGCTACTTCCTAGTGCATAGTGCCCTATTTAGCATACGGGCCATAAACTCACATTTTTTCGGAAAAATAAGCACCTGAAGTGAGGCATTGAGAATTATATTATGTATAAAATTCTTTCTTTTGTAGATTTGCCAAGTGCTGGACAAGTTAAAGAATTTCCGTTGACGGGAGCCTTATAATTGCCTTCCTCTACGGTGAGTTGGTCTCTGACACTAAGCAGTAAATGGTGTGTTAAAAAATATATATGTATATGAGACGTGGGATACTGACTATAACTAATTGTCAACATTAATTAACCGTCTTTAATAATAGAAATTTCATTGTACAAGTGTATTCCTGATTACTTCCAATACTGGGTTATCGGAAGCAAATGCGGTGTAGTACTTAACGTTTGACCAAATTTCTATGATGATGCGACAGTTGTGCGGCACTGCATACCTCGTGGTGGTCCTCAGCAACAGCACCAGCCTCGACCAGGAGGTCGTGTCGGGATTCATACCATGCAATGACGAAGGTCAGTAATGTTCCTTGCAAATGGCGGGTGTGAATATACAATTTTAATTCATATATATTTTAGTGTATGGCGCCATTTCCGTGGTTTTGAAAAGTGCTATGTAGTAAATCTCACGGTCCAACATCCACAAATGCCCTAACAGTAGCTGGTCCGTAGCTTGCAGGTGGTTCAATTCCTTGAATCTAAAGGGTTAGCATTAAACTTCCACTAGAAAAGATACCCTGAATTTTGTTTCGTCTCATCTAAAAGCTGTGGACCTGCAGTGGCAGTTTCCCAGCAATGGCACATTTAGCATCGTCATCCGACCAGGCCAGACTATCGACACTAGTGAGTAATAGAATGCACGAGGAACTGTGATATTATATGTCACAGTTCCTATGTCACACTATATGTGACATTATATGCATAACCTTCACTCGGAACGTTGTGCGAGGAAAGTTGTTTGCAGCATACTCTTAAATGGATTTTTACAACATATATTTAAGTTAAATGAATAGTAAATGTATGTGGAATAAAAATAACATTGATTGATACAACGCTGGTGGCAAGTTAGATTTGATATATTGTCTGGAACAAAATTTGTATTCCGGCTTTCCTCAGAGATCGTGCTGAAGCTGGTCAACTCCGGTACATCAGACTTGAAGGCGCGAATGCCTCTAGACGCGCCTGAGGTGAAAGTGATTGTCGCTGGTGAGGGCACCATCCCGTACTACTTCGGCGACACCTCGAACATGTGAGTGTGATGGCACCATCCCGTACTACTTCGGCGACAGCTCGAACATGTGAGTGTGATGGCACCATCCCGTAATACTTCGGCGACAGCTCGAACGTGTGAGTGTGCATGGGGGCACCATCCCGTACTACTTCGGCGACAGCTCGAACATGTGAGTGTGATGGCACCATCCCGTACTACTTCGGCGACAGCTCGAACATGTGAGTGTGCATGGGGGCACCATCCCGTACTACTTCGGCGACAGCTCGAACATGTGAGTGTGGGGGCACCATCCCGTACTACTT